GGGTCCAGCTTTCTGCTTATTAATTATAGTTTCATGAACTTTCCTGCCCGGGATAGCTTCAAATCTTAGTCCTCTGATCTCAGCCTCCTGAATACCAACAATTATAGGCTTGAGGAATTGATGCTCTGATCATTTAACTCTTTTAACTGTATAATTCATTGTGTTCTGATATACTTAAGACTAAAATATATCACTTAAAGTATGTGTATTTTTACACATGTCTGGATTGCAGCCATTCTTGCTCTCTTGTAGTCTTCAGCAAATTATCCTTCACTCTTCTGTGAGCTTTGACTCCCTCTTGTAAAACATAGCCAGCTACCACTATCTTCAAGGTTCAGAATTGGTTCACTGACCTAGTGCTATATATGTTAAGAAATGTCAAAAGTACAGTTGTACATGGTAGTATATACCTGTAATTGTAGCACTAAGGAGGCTAAGAATGAGAATTTACAGTTTAAGAGCAGCCTCGGAAACATGGTAGGAACGTGAGTCTCAAAAATGAAGCAAGATAGGAAGGGAGAGAGGAAGGAGAATATTTGACAGAATATTATTATAGAGCAAATTTTGACAGATTTTAATGTATTTGAACTAACTTGTGAAATTTGATAATCTAGGAATTCTGCTGGCTGAAGTGGTAGAATGCTAGCTTTGAGCAAAAGAAGCTCAGGGACAGTGCCCAGGCACCGAGTTCAAGCCCCAGGACTGGCAAAAAATAAAAAAGCATAAAGGTTTGCAAATTCAGTGTTTGGGGTTGGGTTGCAGGAACAAATGAGTGCTCTTCAAGTGAAATTGGATGAAGAAGAGCATAAAAACCTGAAGCTTCAACAGCAGGTTGACAAGCTAGAGCACCATTCTGCCCAGATGCAAGAGGTGAGGGGGGTTGGAGACGTGGGGAGGGAAGGGATGGTAGGGAAAAAAGAGGAGTAGGTAACAACGCTCGATAGCAAATGTATTCATTACCTTACTCATGTAACTGTAACCCCTCTGTACAGTATTACTAAAATAAAATATACAAAAGAAAAAAAGAGGTGGGGGGAGCATAGCCTCATATAGCATGAGGCACACCCTCAGAGTCCGTTCATTGTGTGACCCTAGTAACTCAGTGTGATGCACCGTCTTAATGGAATGTGTCGCTTTCCCAAAGCTCTTCTCTTCAGAAAGAACCACATGGGCCCAACAGCAGCACGACCACCTCTCACACTTGAATATCCTCGGAAAGCAGCTTCAAGATACCCAGACCAAGAATGACTGTAAGTGTGAGCAGCCTGGGATCTTGTGACCTGCAAGAATGTAGTAATGCCGCTGCTTTTCAGTCACCTAACTGAATGTCCATATGTTGTTGGTTGGTTGCTTGGATGTTTTTGTTACTGTCATCAGACGACCAGACTTGAGTTTGCCTGGAACTGGTAAGGAACAATGAATGGTAATTTTCTCCAGAATTGCCTCAAAGCTAACAATTTTTGCTTAAAGTTTTTTTGTGAGGCTTGAACTAGGCCTGGGTGCTATCCCTCAGCTCTTCAGCTCAAGGCTAGTGCTTGAGCCATAGCTCTACTTCCAGTTTTTTAAGTGGTTTATTGGAGATAAGAGTCTCATGGGGGCTGGGCAGGTGGCTCAGTGGTAGAGCGCTTGCCTTGCATGCCTGAGGCCCTGGGTTCGATTCCTCAGCACCACATAAGCAAAAAGAAAAAAGCCG